GGCTTGTCGGTCGTCGGTCCATCATACGAAGGACACTGCGAGCTGTCTTTACTATGTCCCACCTGCTGACACTTGCTACAGCGGTGCGGACGATCCTTGTCTTTGCAACGCCGCATCTTGGACCGCGACAGCTCTCATTGAACATGTTGAACATCTACGAAGTGAGCGACCGGGCGCCGCACCAGGGGGGGACACCGTAGTAGTAGTAGTAGTAGTAGTAGTAGTAGTAGTAATCATGTCCTGGAGTCCCATTCCCTGGCCCTGCAATGGAAGTATTTGGCAGTCGGGGCTCTTGAAAACCTGCCGGACCGAGGCTTTCACACATCTCCAAATGGTGCTCAACACAACTCGATGTAGTGAGGGTCAAAGGACGGACCCGGAAAATAAGCAGTAAGCACCCCAATCAGAAAAGCTCTCGATCCGAAACACTACTCCATCGGGTTGGGACTTGAGGTTTACCCAACCCTGCTTTTGCTCAGTAGGTCTCTGCGAAAGACTACATGCTGTGCCCCTTTCTATGTTGTGTCATGGTTGCGGCATCCTGGTCTTCGTCCGATTTTGGAGCATCTTTGTCCTCATGCCCAACCACTTCCTCGGACGATTGCTGCGTTAGAGTAATTGAGTACTAGGAAGCAGCCTCTTCCAGACCTACAGCCAGAAATATCAAGTGCTCCCCAGTCCATGCAAGAAGCCGCTCGCAATATCTTCGAAGATCTGCGTGGCGAACTGACGCTGGAGGACATCTGAGAGACAGAATTTTCGGACACGCGGTCCAGGTGGTGGTCCTGCAGCACAGTGCATACCAAGACCCGAACACAAGACTGACGCAAGCCATGAAATTGAAGACCAAGTTCGGGACGCACTTCCAGTGTCCTTGAAGGTGTCCGTCTTCGAGGGAAGTGGCAGCCAGCCCTGCACAACTGGCGCACTCACCTGCAGTCCGAGCCACTCCAGTCTTGTTTTGTCTGTGGTGCTGATGATGATGATGATGGTTACGATGATACCAGTAATGGTGACCAGGGGCTGAATCCGCCTGTGAATCACCATCTGATGAAAAGGCTCCGAAAGAGCAGGCTTTCGCGACTAAGTCGTAACCAACCCCATTCCCTTATGCTATTGGGGCTCAAACTACTGGAATTTGTTTTTTTCAAGATTCTTCCCACCCCTACATTACCTGCCATCGGCGAAGCGCCGTCAAACTCTCGGACCCCCACGTCCGGAGTGCGTCCCGACGTCTCGCCGCTCACAGTCGCGCTATGATGAACCTGGGAAGTCGGGTTCATCAAGAATTAAACATCATAAGGTAAAGCCATGGATGCAGTGTAAGCTACCAGTAGCAGTTAGTATGGCATGCTGCTACGATGCACTTGACTTGAACCCAAAACCACAACTATCTTGCCGAATGCTATGACCAACTGTGAGAGTTCGGGCCAGGAGCAGCGAAATCCGACTTCCGGCGGGACCTTCCAGGGGAATTGGCTTGGTTGCAAATGAGCAAACTGCTTTGTCACAAAACCCCAGCCACATAGGGGTGCTCAGCATACTTCTTCTTCTTCTTCTCAGCCCGCCCGTGATTTACGGGTTTGGTTGGATACTGGACTGCAACGAAAGTTCGACATACAGCTTACGAAACCCTAGTCTTGGTCGCCCCCATCCCATCTTGAAACGTGCATGGTTTGAGCTCAACATACTACTTCCTCAGGGTTCTGGGAGCGTGTCAGGCTCCCCGGCCACTTAGACCCCCATTTCTGACTTCATCACGAGGAAATTCCCGTTCTGCTGCTTGTTACTTGTGACGCAGCTTCCGTCAGAGCTTCAGCGTTTTGGCTTTGCGACATCAGCTCATGGGCGCAGAGTAAGAGCACCGCAGCATAAGCCCTAAATGGTAGGACGGAATAAAGAGCACAACCCGGAGACCGAGCACGGTTCCCCAACCTCCTATGACCAGTCCCTGGTGTGAAACTCCCCCGCTCGGCCTCGGAATAATCCCGAGGTCCCCCAGGATTCCAGAGCCTAGGGCACAGCTGGGAGAGGTTGGGGAGGAGAATGATCCTGGCGAGTTGGTTTCTTCGATGTCGTGGCTCCTCTCACCCTGAACCCCTATACGGCCTGTTCTAGCACACTTTCTGGAACCGTCGGTCCATGTGGCCTTGTTCGCCCTGATGTCCCATGAGGGTGCGCGGCGATAGCTTCAAGCTGCCGCCGTGGGCCCTCCTGGAGCTGCCACGCCGGTGGTTGACAGCATGGTGTCACAGTGCCCGTGATTCAAATAGGGACCTTCAAACGCTCTTTCCATCTCTATTGAAGAAGTACATTCAATACAGAGTACATGTATGAAGGTCTGTCTGTCCGTCTGTCCGTTCGTCCGTCTGCCGACATGTATTTACAACGCATAAATAGTGCGACAAGCAGATAGATGGACATGTTCATGCAGGTATCGGGCTATCTTTTTGTGTGCCTGACTGAATCAGCTTACGGCTCAGTTCCAGGTTGATCCAGAACCTATCGAGCATCTACTAGAAACCTTCCTGACGATCTTGGGGGACTGTCCCTGCATCGCAAGCCCAAGGGTTAGGGTCTTGGGGTTCCGGGCTTTGGGGCTTGGGGAGGGTGCGGGCACCGCAACTTCTCAATCTCAGGCCTCAAGGCTGCCATAACTCTGAGGCCCCAAAAGCCCTCCAAAGAAGCCCAGACCCGCACGGCCTCGACGTTCTTCGAAGCGGCCGCGGCTCCGGCAGGACCTGACTAATACTACTACTACGAGTGCGACTACGACGACGACGACTACTACTGCTGCCAGGACTACGGCTATGAGTACGACTGCTGCTGCTGCGACTGCTTCTGGTAATGCCCACCACCACTACCTCCGCCTTCAACGCTGAAGGAGACTTCCAGCACCTTGCGAAACTACTGGTGGCCTGAACGTCTGGCCGGTCGATCGTGTTGGAAGACGCCTCCAAATTCCAAGATATAACGCAAGGCAGACATGAATGAGGCTTCAAAGAGCCTCTGATTATCATGCAGTGGCTCACAACCCGGGTCCGCCTCCCGTGACATCTGCAAGCTGTGCAGATGCTGAAGCTGCTGCAGGATTTCTGTGTTCGACGTCCGGCCTTGATACTTGAAAGTCATTTCGACGGTATGTGGCTCCGACTAGCAACGTTTGAAACGAATACTCTCCCTGCTGTTGCAGATGCCCCGGAGGCGTGCAAAAGACATTGCAGTGCTTCTCACGGCTTATTCTGGTTCTGCCCTGGGCCACTGCGTCCTCGGCTTGTCTGAGCTGCAGACTGAGGAGTGACTGCCTGCCCACAGCCAGAATGTGGAGATTGTTCTACAAGTTGTCCCTTGGACTCCGGGGAAGCCCCGCAGAGCAGCACGACGAAACATGATCAAATTATGCAGCCTCCTTTCATGCTTTTTTTGTCACAGCAGCTTTAGACGGACAGGAATTCGGAGTAGCCCTCAACAACGACGGCTCCCGTCCAGAACCTCCTGAATCCTCCTGGCCCGACGCAGGCCTCTGGTAGTTCATGTCATAGACTTCGCTGACGGAGGAATAACCTCTTGCGATTGTTGGTAGCCAAAACATGAGAACAACAGTAGCCAGGAAACAACAAAAAATCCAGGTCATTGCCACGGCTACTAGTACAGCTCGCACGTAGCAAGGGTTGCCTAGCCGTCTTGAAGGAAGGATTGGGACGATTCGCACTTTCCCGGCAGATTCGCCAAGTTGCTGCTTACGTCCTCTGTGTCCACAGAGCCCGGGATGCCAGCAGACCAAATATTGGAGTAGCTGCCGCCAATTGCCTGAGATGGTATCATGCTTCCCTCTCGCATGGCTGAGATCAATGCTCACAAGTGAGACTTGTATCATTTGGGCTCGGGACTTCGGGTTGGAGACCGTGGATTTTTTCAAGCAGGCCGGGCACGCATCATCGTTAGGTTCAGACTTCTACATGGTGCCTCCACCCTTTGTCCTGACGCTGGTTTCAAAAGCTTGTGCAGAGCCAGCGGCACGCTTGGTGCTCTTCTTGGAGTCTGCCTTGGCCGATGTGCAACCACGGACGATCGATTTCAAAGGTCCAGGCTCGCAGGCGGAGGTCTGAGGGCTTTAAAAGCTTTGGTTCCTCGAATAAACAAGACCTCAAACCCTTCGACGAGACTAGACACATGAACCACCAACCACTGTAAAAACATCAAGACCGGTCCGAGGACGCCTCCAACTACTGCACCCATGTCTTGACACCCTCCAAGTTTCGCCCGGCCACTCGCGTCGGCGTGCCTTGCATCCTCCCAAGCAGTCCGGAGCGCAGGGGTGCATCCTCCTTGGATGCAGCCAGGGACTGCAGCGCTGGAAGTGTGGACGAGGACATATACGATATATAGGAAACAAGATACAATAGTGGGTGTGTGTGTGTGTGCCTGTATGTCTGTATGTATGTCTGTCTATGCCTATACATGAACATATGCATGCGGCCTCATATCCATATACATACATCTAGACACACACACACACACACACGTGTACTGGGCTTTGGTGGGCTTGGAGTAAGCATTGGCATGGCTGGCTGTGCTAGTATCTCTATCCCACCCTCTCACTTCCCCGGCCAAGCAACACACAAGACTTTCCCCGGGCGAGCAAGAGAAAGCGAACTCGAGCTCGCAAGGGCTGGTTACAACTGTGCGATAGGTTCCGGCTTTCAGATACTGACAAGGCTCCAGGAGTGCGGCCACCAGCTCCTGCCATCGCAAGATGCCATGAATTAGCAACTAGCTAGCCCACAGCGAGAGATTTGGAGCCATGCATGAGGCTTTCGCCAGTGCAGCGCAAGCACACTGAAGCAATTTGTTTAGTTTGCGACGATTTGGGGGATTCAAAAAGCAAGCCGAAGAGGTTTGTCGAGTTTGCCTGAAACTTTGGTACACAACGGATGTTGGACAGTGAAGTCAAGGAAACATACAATGAAACAGAAAGGCGTGACGCAACACTATCAGCAGGCACAGGCACTCCAGCAGACGACGGAAGAATGAAGAAGCGACCATGTACAGTAAGGTAGTTATATGTCGAACACATCGACACCTGCCGATGATTCAGGAAAAGGCGCAATTATTGCACTGTGCGGTAGCCATAGTGCTTTCCAAAACAGCAAGTATGTTTGACAACTACTTCGCTGAGCAGATGAACAACTTACACGTCTAAGTCCTAAGAACGAAGATGCTAATAATTGCGAAAGTGCTGGCATCCTCATGCTTCTCCACGATCTGGTGGTGCAGCTCACGCAGCTGCTGCTCCAAGAAGGCGGCGAAAGCACTCGACGCAGCGCTCATCAAGCTGGCCACTTCGTTAATTCCGGTGCACGTGCAGGGCAGCCGCAACAAGAAATGAGAGGACGGCGTCTGCAGCCTAGTTTTGCCTGGTCCGGCTCCATCTACTCATCTGTCTTGCTACTCTCGTTGAATTGTTTCCCATGCTGCCAGGGAGACCACCCTGAGACGGGAGAGCCAAAGCGGCTGTACCACACCGGATCCACGGGCAGAGACGCTCTAGCACCCTAGGACAGGACCCTACGAACCCTGCAGACGTGTCGCTGCGAGAAAGAGAAGTCTCTGCAGAGGCCAAGAAGCCATTCCCGGAGTCGTTCGAAGAAGACTGGTAGATTGGCGGCACGACGCTTGCATGACTGGCATTCTTCTGCAATCGGCCGGAAGATTGAGCGATCTGCACGGAGCCTTGTGGATCGGAGTCATGACACTTCTCAACTCTTTGTCTACAGCCCGTCACGCAAGCTAAGACTTAGGAAGGCCTCCCTTGAGACCGCACCAAAGCAATGGAGTCGACTGCAAGTGCTGGGTTCTGAAGTCAGCCAAGGTTCGCTCAATTTCTTGCAGCGACTTCGCGACGTTGCCACCCAGCCCCACTGAACCTCGGCCCTTGCGGCGCTCGGCATCGTAGCGGAAGGCATTGCAATATCCGTGAAACCTTAAGCGGAGCTTGGACAGCTGCAAACCACAAGGCACATGACTTGAAAGCGAGCCCTGAAACACCTCAGCAACTCAAGACAGCCGGGCCCCCCAGCCACCACATGTGCCATCTAACTCGCACATCGCCTCCATCGTATCTTCCCCGCACTAGTAGGGAATCTGCGAGACCTTAAAGTGTGAGTTTGGATATGCCAAAGCATGCCACAGCCGCAGGCACTGCCGGTGGCGCCTTGCAGCGGGATCTCACGCCCGTGCTGAGAGGCAGGCACAAGGCCATACTGGCATCGTCTGTCCACTGACCTCAGCCGCAACAGAAGGAGATGTCACATCATGTCCAACGAGAAACCCTCAACGAGCTGCAAGTCGTACAATATGTACCCACGTCGCTCTGAAAGATTTAAGAGCCCAAAGAAAAGCAGACACGTGGAAAACTGAAGAGGGCCAAAACCACGAAGCAGATGCATGAAGCTGGGTGCCCGGCCTAGCTTCAAATCAAACTTATTCCTCGCGTTCTGGTAGACCAGCTGACCCGTGTCGTCCAGCTGTCCACTTAAGCAAGGCCTTCTCAAATCCGAAAAATCCCCCGCCGGCAGATCCTGGCATCGCTTGGGGTTTGTCGGCTTTCGGCTTCGGATTTAAATTCCAGGGTTTGGGGCTTGAGGGCCAGCATGTCTGTAAGCTGCCTCTATCCTCCTCTGTCCAGACCGGTCAGGCGCGAATGGCGAATGCTACCGAAGCGAATTCCAAGCTTTCCCAAGGATGTAGGGCTTAGGAAGCATCCTAACACCCATCAGGCCCAAGTACCCAAGAATCTGAATCTCGCAGCTCCTTGCATCTGAGCAGATGGAGATATCATGCTCAGAAGTGAACTTGTCACAACACCAAGCGTCGGTTTCGACTCGTCAGCTTACTCTGAACACACGCCAATCTTGTAAAATGCTACTACAGGCACACACACCCTGCCGCAAAGGTGGCGCAACTCCAAAACAGAAACCCTGCAATAAACCCAACAGAACCCTAAACTCCAAACCCTACAGTAAACCCTTCAAACCCTTCAACCGCAAGATAATCCGCATCGCGTCTGTGTGTTGCCAAAGCACTGGGAGCCGGGAATCAACAGCGCAGAACTCTAACCTGGACACACAGGGAATTTTTCCCTCTCGCATGGCAGACAGGGAATTGGGGTTTAGGGTTTAGGGTTTAGGGCTTAGGGTTGCAACTTATTTTTGAAGCAATGGGTTTGGGTAATGCCGGCGACCTCTTCAGATGATGATTTACTATAGCCTCCCCATGTTTGAAAGCCTTGTAGATATCACTCTTCAGGCCATTGCGTCAAGCTTTCCACTATCGCAGCTTTTGCTGTCGCAAATAGCTGCTGCCGCCAGATTCGGTGGCCATTATTGTTGAGCTTGCAGGCTTCAGGATTCCGGTGGCTTTTGTTGGGTGCACATGGAAGCATCAAAACCCACAAAGCTTTCAGAAACTCTCAGGGTTTTCTAAGTACTTTGAAGCCCAAAGCACACTCGGAGGCTCTACAACCTGAGGCCGCCTCGACCCCGAAGGTTCTCTTCACAACAGACACCGCACCGCACCCCAGAGCTCGAAGTCTTCTGCGGGAGCACGGTGCGCCGCACGCGTCGCCCAGCGCAAGGCCGACCAGACAGCCGATGGCAGCACCACAGCCGGGGTCCTGCCGAGTTGGATGCTCCGGTGAATTCCGGCCCTGACCGTGATCACGCTCATGGTCACAGACTGTGCTGCTCTATGAGGACTAAGAAGATCAATGATGCTGAGGATGATGATGGCCACGATGGCACTGGCAGACTATGTATGGAGATAGCATGGCGATGCTGATGGCAAAACCATTAGGAGTCATGTCGAGACAGAGATTGCAGTCATGGCAACTGTGGCCAGATGAAGATTGAGGGCAATGAGTTGCAGTGACGCCGGTGACTGTTGTGATAACCGCCGTTTGGTCATCGTAGTGCCAATGGTGACCCGATGCAGGAATGACGACGTATGATTGAGACTACGGCTACCACCACTGCCAACTTCTTCCTTGCCTGACTAGTCCGACTAGTCCTGACACTTGCGAGCGACTCGTCTGCCTTGACACACTTCAACTTTGCAGAACACGAGCTCCTCTGCTGCTAGCTTGTCAAGAATGGCCCACCACTCGCCACCGGATTTGGGATCATTGCTGCCCCTCGGTGCGAACAGCATGTGCTGTGCATGGTATTGCAAACTGCCACAGAACCATGAGGCAAGCACAAAAAGAAAATGCATGCCGGCATTCAGCACAGCTTGTGTAAGGGACTCGGCAGAAACTCACCTCGCCGAAAGTCGAGGCGCACTAAACAGTCTGGGCCGACCTTCCAAGACACTACCCCAGCAGGTTTCCCTTGTCCCCCAGTCTGCGGGGAAGCCGCGAAAAATTCAAGGCCGCTATACAATGGCACCGTTCGGCCAAGCAGCAGTGCATCGGCAAGCGGCGACCAGTGACACAAACGACTGCCCGTCTCCTCCGCCAGCTGTGTTGTGGGCTACATCTTTCAGATACTGCAGAGGGGCAAAACCAAGTCATGAAGATGGTAGTGATGATCATTGCCATGGTGATAATGATGATGATCATGGTCATTATGTTGGTGATGATGATGATGATGATGATGATGACGATGACGCTGACGCTTTTGGTTATGACAATGATGAGGAGGATGATGATAATCATGATGTTGATGATGATGATGTTGATGATGGTGCTGATGCTGCTGATGATGCTGCTGATGATGCTGATGATGATGATGATGATGGTGGCAGCTGTGGTCGTGATTTGGGTGCTGGTGGTTGATAGCTTTGGTGGTGGTCTTTGCCATAATGCAGGGAATTACTGAATCGCTTTGGGCTTTTCAGGCATATTACAGTATATGTAAGTTATTCGAGAACCCCACCGAATAGCATTGGTAATGATTCAGGTGTCCTTGTCGTTCACGGACGGAACACAGATTGGGTGCGTCCGGTTGATCTTGTGCTGCAGCTGCTGCAGCCTGGTGTCGCATGCCCGATATCAGAGGCCGCTTGCGCACGTACAGTACAGGCCCTCTACTCCTCAACCAGTTCCAACAAACCCTTTGCGCCAAGGTACAAGTCGTCCATGGGCTTCTGCTGCGCGATTCCCGTGTCTGGGGCCGCTCTACACAAAAATGGCCAGCAAGAATTACAGGGGGCTGTGATCGTGCGGCCGTCTGTGAAAAGTGGGTGTGGCTTGTCTGGCAAATAAGGGCTGCTGCTCCCCCTAAGCTTTGCGCTCCTTTCTTGTTATTTAACGAAGTGCCTCTTTTCTACGGTTCTTTTCGAGGCACCCTGAACAAACGAAAAACACTTGACTATCCTATCACTGAAACCCAACAAAAGACAACAACCTCGAGGAACCCACACTTACTTTCATCCTGGGTCCAAAGCGGCAGCAGTGCCAACCGATCGCCGGCAAGCGGCCAAAGACTCCACCGACTCTTCAGCACACGCTTCTTGCTTGAGGGTTCTTTGGTATGCTTCAGGCTGCGTTCACTTCGTCACCCGTTGGCACCCTTTGTTCAAACAAAGTCGGATGGTCCCGTGAGGTCGCCACGCTTTTTCTCCACTGAGGCAGGGGAGGTGAATACGAGTTGCTCTGAATTACAGCTCATGACAGGCCCCCGCCAATCCGAAATGGGCCATCGTCAAGAACAACCCGAAACTTGCAAATTTACGCGCGGACTAAGATGGGCATCGGTCACGAGCGCTCGATGCTTCCGCTGCTGCTCGTGCTGCTGGCATCCTCGCAGTGGGCAACCAAGAGTCTTAAAAAATAGAACAAAGTACTGCCATCAGCACCGGCACTCGCACCAGTAGTGCTACTGCACAGCAGCATCCCCTCGCTCGAGCTCCGCACTTCGCTACTGTGGTGCCGCTGCCTTTCCTTGGGAGCCGCCTTCGCCTGCGAGGTGGCAATTCCATGCTGACAATATGTGCTCGGCCCGACTTCCAAATCTGGCATGTAGCAAAAATGCAACCAGCCCCTCCAAACTCACACCACATCGGAACACGCACGATGCGGACCTGCAGCAGCATGCTATTTGAAGCCCCGCGGGTTGTGCCGTCAAACCTAACATCTAAGCACACGAGACCCCAACCATTGAACCCCGAACCCCTCGGCGAGGCGAAATCCCACCGTGGCCCGCTGTGGCATTTGCACTCAAGACCTGAGCCCCGAAGCTGCAGAAACCTGAAGAACCCAAGAGGCTCCCCTTCGTTCAAAGGAAGCTTGCTTGACACCCCTGTGGCCGTGAATCCACCGGAGTATCTCGAAAAGGGCCGATAAGGTGGCAAACATCCGGCTAGACTCTCACGTAGAACTCAAAAGCGGTGTTAGACCCCGAAGCCCTGCATAGTAGGCCTTAACCTTCAACCCGAAACCAAACTCTACACTTCCCCTTGAAAAATGCAGCCACTCCACCCCTTTTAACCCGTATGAACAGAGCTTTGGACCTTCGCCAGGCTGTCCGCTGAGCTGCCAGAGTCCGGGGAGCTGCTGCCCTCTTCTTTTGGCGTCGCTTAGGGCTTTTTGTCGTGGAGGGATGGCCCAGAAGTAACGGGCTTTCGGTGGGGTGAAGGGCTTCTGCAGGCTTTTGGAGGTCTTCGGAATCCGTCTTTGGAAGCTCCAGGTATGTCGCTCGTGGCAGCTGAAGCCTTTGCCTCTGTTTTCCGTCGCCGCTCTATCGGCCAAGGCTCTTCTCTCTGACAGAAATCACCGTACACGACCCTTTCTTCTGAAGCTGGACTTGCTGGATCTTCAGAGTCTGAACTCCAAACCCGCAACCATGCCCTGCGCGTTGGAACATCAGGCTGGCAACTCAAATCTTGCAACGTGTTGCCCGCAAATGAAACAGGCTTGAATGCACCAGGAACTCATACTCGTACCATGTCGTACCTAAGTCCAAGATAGAAACTCTCTCTCTCTCTCTCACGCACTCAGTCGCTTGTCCGGCAGAAATCAACAGCCTCGTCCTCCTCCTCGCTGGAGGTGACTCTGCGGACCAAAGGGCCTTGAACCCCAGGGCAGACATGCCCACCGCCCCAGCTCTTGCACTGCCAAAGCCACGGGAGCCCCTACTGTGCTCTACTAGTCGCGCTCCTAAGCCTGTGCTTCCTGTTCCGTCTTGCCTCCACGCGGGACGCTCACGGGGGCGGGCTGCTCCAAGGCATCCTCGGCCCGCGCCGCGCCTGAAAGCCGTGAGTCTTTGACTCTTGCGTCGGAGCGCTTCCGAAACAGCCGCCCCCCTTTTCCGCTGCGATGTGCGAGGAGGCTTTGCCGCTCTGCCGGCTTGCTGCTCCGTCGTCAACACGACTTTGTTGTTGCGAGGAGCTTCAGGGGCGCTACGTGACGCTACGGGCTGCGAGGACTTAGAGAGGGAGGCTCCTGAAAGACCTGGAACTGGCCAGCTCCCTTTGTGACGTACTTGGCCTTTCGCCCAATGCCCTTGGACAAGAGGTACAAACTCTGAGAGTCCTTGAGAGCACCGAGCCTCACGCGAACCCACCAGCCGTCGCTCGTCTCGTGGCCAATGAGGGGATCTCCGTCCTCCCACTCTGAAGTGCTGGTCCCCAGAGCAGGCAGATGGAAATCATATTGGCCCCTGCCATCCGGCAAGACTCCGTGCAATCGCGTCTGGCTGCTGTCGGCTTTCAGTGAGATGCGCACCTCAGCCCACGAACCTCCTCGCAGGCAGGAAGTTTCGGAGCTGGCGTAGTTAGTATCAGCAGACACCACTTCGTAGCCCAAGCCATCCAGGCCAGCAGTGTGTAGGACTGCCGGAGCCTGACCGCTGGGCTTGTGCCCAACCACGACCCGCCGAACACCTCCGTCCAGCAGGTACTGCAGAACTTCCTTGTTCATGGGATCTGAGCACTTCTGGTAGCCTTCAAACTTATCTTCGTCGATGGCCTTCCTTGCCGGCATGGCGTGTCCGTCCACGTAGCAGGTCACCACCACTGTGTGCAGCGCCATGGCCGGGCGGCACTGGTAAGCCATGAGCGCCTCTCCCCCCCGGATGCGCTGGGCAGCGGCGGCCGGATCGGCCGGATCGGCCGGTTGCCAGAAGGGGCCTCGCTGCCAGGCCTCGACTTGCTCCAAAGCAAAGTCGTTCAGCGCCTCGATCCATTCACGCAGAGCCAGGTCTTGGCGGCAGCCTACCCGCACCTCCTCGGGGCTGTTCCTCCGATATCGGAGTGTGGCGCTGGGCACGAAGCCCAAAGCCTGCTTCTCCACAGCTCCATGGACGAAGAGGGTGTCGCCAATGATCACACCAACTTGTGCATTCCGAAGGTAAGCCACTACCTCGCCATTCTTGTCCAGCACCGACTGAGAATAGCTCTGCAGCACCTCCTCTTCCGAGATCTCAGCGACGTCCTTGCCGGCGAGGCGCGCAAGCTCCGCTTTCCGGTGACCGAAAGCCTGTGGCGAGCCCAGGGTGCACGTCAGCATCCACTTCAGTCGTGCTACGGGCGTGTCCGTCCAGCCCTTCTTGGCCAAAAAATCTGCCAACCTCGTGGCTTTCGGATCCCACCACGGCTGGAAGGCATAGTCGGGGCCCAGTGCGACCTCCTCCGCCTGAAGCTCTGCGGTGAATCGCATTTTGTTTATATCCCGGTTTCCCATGATCAGAAAGACCCGGTCGGGATGCCTCTTTTTCAGGCCGACGAGCTCCCTGGCGAGCTGCAGATCTCCAGGGCCCCGATCGAACAAATCGCCACCGAAAACGAAGGCAGCGGTCGGGGAGCGAAGCTGGAGCTCCTCCTTCTCGTCCCTGTAAAGCACAGCTCTTCTGCTTCCCAGGTAGCGGTTGAAGGTGTCTAAGTCGCCCTCCAAGTCCGTGATGTAGCCTACCTCATCGATTCTCTCCGAAGGAAGTGCAGAGCGTGCCCGCGTCTCGGAGGCAAAAGACTTGCTCGCAGTGCTTGCAGCCAGGCCAGTTATAGCAGCAGCAACGCCACGAAGGCGCCAAGCCCCAGCATGTTTCTGAAGACCCAATCCAACACGTCGGCGCGGCAAGCAGCCAGCACCCAAACCAGTCGCAACATTGCGATTTAATGTGGGGAGTCCTTGAGGCAAGCACCTCAACCGCAGCATCTTCGCAGCATGGCCGAGAGTCACGCAATCAACTATCAAAATTGGTTAGACTCTTAGATGCTTCTCTGCAGGCACATCCCTAGCACTAGGTCGTTTCCTAAGAAAGGAAGAAGTCATGCACGCGGAGTGGGCTGCAGCTCTTCTGAGACAGATGTGGCTTGGTCCATCGTTAACCAACACTTGACCAAACTTACGGCTGAGCATTTGCAGTAACACACCACGGTGCCGCGTGAGTTGGAAGGCTTGCTGGCTGTAATGCACTTCCCTCCCACGGCAGGTGCGGGGTATTGCCTGAACCCACGCATGGGCAACTTGAAACAACCCTATCCAATCTTCCAGAATCCTTTTGCAGTGGTCTGGGCACCAGGCTCGCTTCAGCTTCCTCTGCTTGGCCTCGGTTCCGCCATGCTGTGTGCAAATCGGGCCAGTCACCCTCATCTTGCATCGCACGGAAGCTGCAGCAACTTCTCGAAGATCACGCAACTGGATATGCTAAGCAAAAGCAAAGGCGATAGGCTGTTGCCAAAACTCGGTTGCGAACCTTCCGTCTCGGGACGGTTGGGCTCCTCTGGTATATCACCTTCGCACCGACGGAGACATAACACCACACCGCAGACAAAGACTTGACAAGAAGATGGTGAAAAAAAAAAGCTGTTTAAGGTGCTAGGCGACTCTTTCACACACTCTTCATCGTGTCTTCATGACAGCTTGACTGCGGGGACCCTGTGGGGATTGCTGTCCCGACGAGGGCAGAGAGAGGCTCCGAGGGCTCGGACCCCGCGGACTTTGCGCAGGCTCCTGGCGACCTGGCAATCGCACGGAGCAGCGAGAGCCGCGGGCGCGGAAGGCAAAAAATGAGGCAGCGCGCCGTATGTGGAGTGCCCCGTGGATTGTACAGCAATCGGCCCGGGGTTGGCGTCGTCCCCTCCCGCGGCATCGCAAACGGGATTGTATTCATTGTAGGTGACTGCCAGTGGCTCGGCATCGAGAGACTCTTGTAGCGCAGCCTGGATTCGAAGTACTGGGCTGGGATTCGTCGGGACCTCAGCCCAGGCACAAGCTCCCCGCTCGTGACGAAAACTTCCCAGGGCCACGCACCGGACGTCGCGGGCTGCACGGCCTCGTGGCTCAGGTCGCCACCTGAGCCGACTGGAAATCCCTCGATGAGCGAAACACGACTCATGAAGAGGAGAAGGGAAGGGAGGGGACGAGGACGAAGGTCGTAGCGGTTTTGTGTCGGTGATTCCCATCATTGTTGTCGCTGCTCCCGCCAGGAGGCTCTGTCTCACAATGGCCCTAGGCCCGAGGAGGCAAGACGACGGCCACACAGGAGAGAGCCTTCTCCCGCTCACAGACAAGGATCTGTCCCGAATGATGGCAATCGACGGCAATATACCGTCTATGTCTAGGGGATGTTGCCTGAACTTGCCCTAGCTTGTAAACCCGGACCACACCCCATCGCAGAACCTGTCGCAGCTAGACGGTTCTCATGCCGCTGTAATATGTTGCACATGCTTCCGCGAAATCACGTGCTCCCCTTCCACAGCTCATCAGGTTGGTGCTACAGCTGCTGCTAGTGCTTATGGAAATTGTGGGTGTTGTTGTGGCGAGGTCATCTCCACTTGCAACAGGTCTGCGAAACAAGAAGCGTGCTGCACTGCGCCCTGATGTGCCCGAGAGCTTGTATGACTGCTGTGCATGGAAGTGTGTGTCTTCGGGCCTTTGATGGCATTCGTGTGAATGCCAAAGCTTGGGCCCATCATCGTAGCAGCCCGAGGCCGCATCCCAGAACGCGGCAACGTGTGGCAACAGAGTGAGTCGGAATGCGGCAAGGAGGCCACCGTGCTGATAGCACTCCGTCCCAGCAGTCTCTTGGAAGACCGAGTCCCAGGCTGAAGTCTGGCGGCTCTGGCTCTGGAGGGGACACGGACGCGTCCACCAGCCGACCTGAGCTCGTGCTGGTCCCCTGCTGAGTTCTGCTGGAAGCTTCTTTGTGGCCGTCTGGCTGATCTCCTTCTTCGGTCCGGTTTTGGCTTGGCACCACGCGCACGGCTTCGTCTGCACGCCGGCTGGATGCAGGCAGGGCGGCCTGCCGATCCGACCGAAACATTCTGGCGGCCCCACTGCCTAGCTGCAACATGTCAGCACGGCCTGAGGCAGCTCTTCTGGCTCTTTCGGCGCATCCTGGCACCACATGCATGATCCCTGCAAGAGCAACGGCCAGAGCCCTGATATCTTGGAAACAGGCCGGAGGGTACCCAAACGCTTCGGAAGCGGCTCATGTAGAGCAGGAGCTGTGCATCTAGTCCTTCAGGCAATCCAACAGCCTAGACTTGACATGCTGGCCCAAGGCGACATTCAGGCTCCGGTTTGGGGCTGCTGCGGGTTGTAATATGGGCCCTCTTTTTCTGGCGCATCCTTCCCTGCAAGCAGATCTTGTGTAAGCTCAGGGACAGCTGTCACAACGCCTTTGCGACGACAGCAGCGGCGAATTCTCCGTAGGGCACACCTCCTGCCAGGAGTGGCCTCACTCAGCGTTAAAAGTTTGCTCAAAATTTGCAGATTTTCTTGGTCAGGGCTCCGGCTTCAAGGTCCACTCCACGTCCAAAAGCTCTTGAAAAGCCACCGTCAGGTTCCCATCCAGGCCCGAGGGCCCTGTACTCCAGGTGCCAGTCATGGTGGACCGCAGGTTCACGAAGCCCGCGCGGATCTTGCCCGAGATCCCCTCGGCCGTCGCTTTCGTAGGCCACATCTTGCCCGAGATCAGGTAGGTGCCGGCGCAGGGCGGACCAACCTTGAAGCTCATGCTCGCGCCGGTCAGGTTGGTCCACAGGAAGGGGGGCTCTTGTGGCTCTTGTGTGACTGTGATGGCCACCGCAGAAACGCTCCTGTCACCACAGCCCTGCCCAAGCATGCCGGTGCCGATGCGGCCCGATTCCTGGTCCACGCTTTCGTAGAAGAAGGTGGTGTTCGTAGCCCCCTGCGCTGCTTCTCCTCTACTCGACGGCATCAGGCGCAGGTCCCCGAGGGAGTCCACCAAGCTGATCAGGCTGCGGGATGCGGAGGAGACGGCGCTTTTGTGCTTCCTCGCTTCCAGGCTCGCCAGATTGCAGCCCGCCCTTGCGGCAGCCTCGGCAAGAGCCGCCTCGCCAGCCTCCACCTGCACGCGCTCAGTGGCCGAAGCAGGCGCAGTGGCATGGGGCGCGCTGCGGTCAAGCTTGCCAAGGAAGCGGTGGATGGCTGCCGACAGCCCTGGTGCTGCCAGCAGGCACTTGGGTTCCAGCAGATCCGCACGCAGGCTTTGGAAACGTCCTTGAGATTCCAGAATGCACAGAGCCAGCAAACATCTCCACATGGCTCCAGCCCTGAAACTTCCCAAATTGTTGCTAGGGCCCTTAAGGAGCTGGTGAATTACGCAAAGCTCGTGCATCGGCCATTTTTTGAGTTGAGGAAACATGGAAATCTCTCTAGCGGGGAGCCCGATGTTGCTGGCATGTGGAGACATGGCAGCAAGGTTCATGCGCAAGATGCCATGGCCACTGCCGCACCAGCTTCGCACTTACTAGTAGCCGGCATACAAGAAAAAACTGTGTTAAGTATCCCTGCCCTGCCTTCTGCAGAAGTGCCTTCCACGGAGCTCACGGTGCCCTGTCAGGAATCCAAATCCGACTGGCGAAGTCAGCATCGAACCAAGGGTACATAGAAAAATTGGCGGATGTCGTGCTACGAGTAGTGTTCGGCAAGCTCCACGCAGACTTTCGAAACGACAGAGTCTCACTCAGAACTACCTTGGGCGTTCGTCTGCCCAGTCTACCGGCTTGCGGGGAGTCTTTGTGCCCCAGCACTTCTTCAAGGAGCTGTCTGCACTGTTGCGACACTCTGCTCACTGCGTACAGCACTGTTGCGACACTCTGCTCACTGCGTACAGCAGGAAAAAGGGAACATGTACCTCAGATTCAACTTGGAACACACACACACACACACACTACCGGTCTCAGATGTAGAAGGTGTAAGCTCAGCCCATAACGTCCACTTGTGTCTCTCGGCTTGCTTTCTGACCTCAACTGATGGCTAGCAGGTTATGAGTGCGCCCCATCTCCGCCGGCACTCTTGGGCTTCTGTGTAGAACCTCCTCGCCTTGGCAAAACTTTCCGTCAGGTCGCAGAAACAATCTACATCCAAGCAGCAAGGTACCCACGAATCTTCGCCTGGGCCTTCACAAGGCCGGGCAGCACTGGCGACGACGACGACGAATCCTGGCAAACTTCATATGAGTCTTAGTTTCGGCCTCCTGGCGAGCACACTGTGATTGTGTCAGCTACAGGACTAAGAGAGACATCAAGGAGAACAAGTAACAATCAAATGCTTGCCAGTCGGCTTGGACTCTCGTGACTCGGACGCTGCAGGCCCAGTCGGTTTGGAAAACCTAAACCATAAACTAGAGACTATAAATGCTAATTGCTGCTTCTACATATCGGAGCAGCCAGATCCCGCTGTCCTGCGGCAGAATGCGAACCGACATGGTTTGGGCCGCCGAAGCCTGCGAGGCACAAGGCCAGATCTTATGCGTATAGAATAACATGATCTGATATAGCATAATCAGAAATTAGATCATATACTAAAATACATTAATATACTATATTATAATATGATATAGTACAATACATGTATATATATTATATACATGTATATAGTATGGTACAATATACATGCTAAGAAAGTATAACATGAGAAAGGAGAAGACCTCGGACCTTCAAAGCCCGCCTTCACGGCACGGAGCACCTCTTCGGCGGCGCAACCGTAGCCTGAGATTTACGCTCTCACAACTCGGACTTGCCGGATGAGGTCTCTCTATGAGTGGTCGGCTGAATGACTGCAGCGAGCTGTAACTCCGAAATGCTATTTGTTTGCTTCGGGACTCCATGGATCTTTCCCGGGGCACAGCCGCTTCGAGGTGCTATCCAGGATTGAATTTTGGGGGGTCGAGGATGGCGTAGGGCTTTTGTTCCGGTGCTTCGGGCATGAACTTTGGGAAGTTCAGCAGAACAGTTCATGCTCAGTCTGGAGGAATCGTGGATTTGAAGTCTGGAGCTCAAGCTTGATGGCAAAAGTCAATAGGATACAAAAAGTCTGGCCGGGACCTTGTGCGGAGCCTTGTTGAGGGAGCAGATATGGCTCCGCAGTACCAAGTTGAGCGGCTGGCTTGCTCCAGAAAGCCGAAGTTAAGGCCGCTACATACCTGCATCATAGCATTCCACTGCCACAGAATGCCACTGTGTTCTAGCCTGCGCTTTCATTCCACTGGCCAGGCTCCACTACTTCTCGTACTGCTCGTAAGACTTCTATGTTCTAGGATGCAGCAAGGTGCGGAGGTCCAGGCGCAGAAACCGAAGACCACTGCCATAAGGCCAGGAGAGATTACCTGCAGCTCGGTGGGTGATGTTACATGGTCGAAATGCATAACATCTCGTCGGACTGCATAACATGGAAATTATGTACACACTAACTGGGTTTATCTTACATTCTGCCGGTGCTCTTACGTTGCATGTCTTCGTTGGCTATATTTCAGCTTGCCTGGACGCATAACAACATATCCGAATGTGTTTTGGTGTTGGGCATGTGTTGGCCAGCACCACTGTCGACAGGCGGACCCCCTTGCACGCAGCGTGTGTCCCGAAAAGGCGTGTTTGAGACTAGCAATTTTACAGGCAATGCAACAAACAGCGCAAGCAGCACGTACCACACTGCCTGCAAGCAACACATCATCCACCGAGGCACTGTGCAATAACAGCACGCACAGCTTGTCGGTAATGGCGGACCGCATGCCATAGAGGTCCAGTTTCCTGCGCTTGTGCTTCAAGCCGAGGCCCGCGGAGGCAACGGATTACAATGGCCTTAAGCTCCGACAATTCTGCACCACTTGCAGCAGAGCGTGCTCCAGAGCCGGCGATGCCGTCGCCCTGGCGTGTTGCAGAGACCAGGTGCTGGGACTTCTGTTTCTGGGGCCTCTTCCCGAAGTCTTCGCAACAATTCCCTTAAGCCTAAATCATAGGTTGTCCCGAAACCTGAAGTAAGCCATTGGCAAGTGCGGGCCAGTGGCGGCATCTCTGCGCTGGTGGAAGAATTTGGCCTCCAAGACCGCGAGTTGCACGAGACTGCAGCTAAACATGACTGGCATTCTGGCATTCTCATGCCTCACAACAACTCAATTTGGCAACATTGTTGCTCACCCCTTGATGACCAAAGAAGCCAAGCGACGGTGCTCTCCTGGCAAAAACCAGACATAGATCAGCTTGCTGTGCCATTGACAAAGGCAGCGGCAGCACTCACAAGTTTCCAAGCTGCTCCTCTGGATCGTCAGGTCTCGCAATCCTGCGAGCGACAGAGAAACTCTCGCCTCACGAAAGAAAGGATATCTTTCTGCCACGAGGAAGCCGGCCTCGCAACTTCGGGAGCTCCTCCCAAGCTTCGCCGGGCAGATCAACATTGCACAAGCTCAGCGAAGTCAGCGATGAGATGGACATCAGCTGCAGCGCGGCCTGCACAAGAGCACTACATCGCGGCTGCGCAAGGCCCGATGGCAGTCAGACTCGTGGGACTCATCGTAGGGAATCTCTGAAAGTCTGCAAGAGGCACTGCTGCCGGAAGCTTGGGAAGGTGAGCCAGGCGAAGGCTCCGAAGAGCAAGGTCCTCCAAAGTTCTACGGCCAACCCCCGTAGCAGATTTCTGAGGACTTTGAGAGGGCGCCTGCAGAATCAATAGAAAGGTAGCTAGATTAATAGAAACAAACACGAAAGCAAACAAACAAACGAACAAAAACACAGACCTTCAAAGAAAGATAGATGCATAGATACGGCATAGAAAACTGGGTAGATACAAAGATGTACAGATAGACCGATAGATAGATGGATAGATAGATAGGTAGATAGATAGACCGATAGATCGATAGATCGATAGATCGATAGATCGATAGATCGACAGATCGATAGATCGATAGACAGACAGACAGACAGACAGACAGACAGACAGACAGACAGACGGACAGACAGACAGACAGACAGATAGATAGATAGATAGATAGGTAGATAGATAGATAGATGGACAGACAGACAGGACAGATAGATAGTTAGATAGACGGAGACATAGATAGAGAGATTGATTGATTGATTGATTGATAGCTGGATAGACAGGTAAACACATGTAAGCATGAAGGCCGTCAATATAAAGAGATACATGGGCAGAAGCAATTTCAAGATAACTGTACTTGCTCATGTTCTTTGTAGCTTACTTGTTGCAGAGTGTACATACACGGCATGTACATACGTACATAAGGACATTCGTACGTACATATAAATACGTACATACATACCATACATACAAACATACATACATACATACATACATACATACATACATGAGCGTGCATTTGCCGCACGTATTGAACTGTTGGGACAGAACTTCTGTGCCTTTCACAGATGCGGCTCTGACCCCTCAGATCCCAGACTGGCACATTGTTGTCTCTCGAGCTTCTCTCCCTGCGCTGCTCCTTCAAGCTGCTATGGTGCCTTGCCATCATGCTTCTGTTCGCTTCTCTCGGTGGATTGCAACAACTACGATAACATGTGTAAACGAACCACACAACACCAGGGCCAGCCTCACCAAAACGAATCAGAAGCGGATCGCGGAATCCTAAGAAGCCTGAACGGAAACACTGGAAGAATACGTCACTCAACAAACCCTCCTCCGAGACGGAGGCGGACGCCAGCAGCTTGACCACTTCCTCCGGGTCCGGACAGTAGTTCGGTAGACGCTCCTGAGGCGAGCTTCGAGCGACTCGGGAGCCTGATACAATCAGACACACACACACACATATATATATATATACATATAGATTACCATCTACATCAACGTGTATTCATACATAGATATATATATATATATACATCTATGGATATATATATATATATA